CCCACATACCATTCCCCCTGCTCCTCCTCAGTGTTCACATCTTAACACAGCTCTTATATAACATCAAATCCAAGAAGCTGGTAAAACCCATAGAGCTCATCCAGATTTCACCAGTTATACATACACAAGTGTGTATGTGTGCGTGGGCGTACGCGCACACATATGAATATGCATGCATATGGGCTTGCTTGTATAGTTCTGGGCAATTGTATATGTATGGCCTGTGGCAATCACCACCATAATTAAATGCTCAACTGTGCCATTAACACTAAACCCTGTTACCCTTTCATAGTCTTATCCATCTCCCCAATCCTTCCCCTGGCTACTACTAATCTGTTCTTCATCTCTACAATTATTTAATAAATGTTACATAAATGGAATTTTTTACTTTTATTGGTGAGTAATGTAACATAGTATAATGAACAATACCACAGTTTATTTAATCACTCATCCACTGAAGGACATTTGGATAGTTCCAAGCTTAGGGTTAACATGAATAAAAAATTCTTTGAACATTCATGTATGAGTGCCTCCAAAAAAATTAGCCTTGGCTTTTCTAGGATAAATTTCCAAGAGTGCAATGGCTGGTATCTTATTTTTGTAGCCTTAATTCCCAAAAATTCTATTCTTGTTCCCATGTGATAGTCGAACAGGACTGCTTGTTCTGCTTCCTCTTCCTCTCTGGTTTCTAATCCTCACCATCATTTGCACATGTATTATTAAAAGGTGCTTCAAATCATGTTTTGAAAGCAGATGAAGAAATAAGCTAATATAGACAGAGAATAGAGATGAACAAGTGGAGGGGAAAATAAATAAGAGATAGTGTATTTTATCAACACTGTCCCAGTAAAATGTGATCTCTTTAGTATAAACCTCCATCATATTTGCCAAACTTCTCTTATAAAGTGCATGTTCTTCCACAGTCTCAAAGATGCGTATGTCCCCTATACCTCCATTAAAACAGTAAACTCCCTAAAAACAGATCATGAGTTTTAAACTTATTCGGACATCAAGCACAGCCCAGAGTTTCTGTCAGAATGGGACCTCAAGCAAAAGAGAATCGCCATCGTTGAATGAATGGATGAGTCAAATGTCTGCCCTAAGAGGGTTCTGGTCTAACCAGGAAACCAGTATGGTATATCTGCCCTAAAAAAGAAAACTAATACAGGTTAAATGCCAAAGGATAATAGAAGCAGAAAGTGTTACAAATGTGCAGACAAGTGAGCACACTTTCTGGGACAGTTGGGTTATGCTTCCTAAAGAAGGCTATGTTTGAAAGAAACCTTGAAAAGATTAGTAGAACAAAAAAAAGTAGAAAAGAGAGTCCTTTTTGGTAGTCATTATTTAAAGAACAACATATGAGTTGGTCTCATTCTTTGTTGCTTCTGGATAACATCCCAATAGTATAGATGCACCCAAATTTTTAAACCATTTGCTAATAATAGGCATTCAGGTTTGCATCACTTAGAATTAAATTTGGGTCCATTACATTAGACTCTCATACACACAAGATACTTTATTTCTCTCCTGCATAAAAGCAGCCCAACCCTCACTAGTGTGGCTCAGTGGGTTGGGCATTGTCCCACAAACCAAAAGGTCATCTGTTCGATTCCCGGTCAGGGTACATGCCTGGGTTGCTGGCTAGTTCCACACTTGGGCGGCGGGGGGGGTGAGAGGCAGCTGATCACTGATCAGTGTTTCTGTCACACACTGATGTTTCTCTCCCCCTCTTTCTCCCTCCTTTTCCCTCTAAAAATGAATAAATAAATCTAAATAAATACATAAATAATAAAAATAAAAAGTAAAATTTAAAAGCCCAGAGGTAGACAATTCAGGGTTGGTATGGGGACTCCACAGTCCACACTCCATTTTTCAGCTCCACCATCCTAACCCATGACTTCTTTTTCCAAAGTTGCCTCGTGAGCTCAGACGTCTTGTTACAGGCAACTGGAACAGCCTATGTCCCAGCTATGCCAACTCCCTTTATGCAGCCTCCCAGAAGTTTCATACAGTACTTTAAGTTCTATCTCACTGGCCCAAACTTAGTTGTGTAGCTATGCCTAGCTGCAAGAGAAGCTGAAAAAATGTGATCTTATATGAGTGCACTGCTCTGTCAAACAAACTTTAAGATTCTGTAACTAAAAAAGGATAATGAACATTAGGTAGCTGCCAGCAGTGAGAGAACAAAAATCCTGCCCTGCCAATGAACAAGCAAACACATTATCTTCTATAGTCAGAAAAAGAAGAGGGTGGGGGAAAGTACTTCACACTCTGACCCTGAAATAAATAAACAAGCAAAAAATAAAGTAGTACATCTGCTCTAGTCACTAGAATAGAAGAAATGCTAATCACAGTTGTGTAAATCACCACATCCCTAACAAAACAAAATTTTTCCCTAAAGCTTGCAATATTCTTATGATAATCATGCCTGATTTTCTACCATGAACAGACTAACTATAATCCTATAACCCTGTGGGTTTTTACTTTTTAAATACCTGTTGTATTTTTAAATCAGAAAGCCAATCCTGAATTTGGACTCCCCTGCAGAACTTTGCAAGTAAACTATTTTTCTCCTCTTAAACTATTTTTCTTTTCTTAATGTCTCTGTGCCTCCAAGCCTTCCTTTCACAGCAGTCTCAGCCACAAGGTTATTTCCAGTTTTTCACTATTATAAGTCACACTGCAGTACACAACTTGTAAATGCTTCTGTGTACACATAGCAACAATTTCTCAAACCCAGATATCTAAAACAGGTCTTGCTGGGACAAACAATATGCACAGTTTCAATATAGTCTACATAATCACTATCCTAAGAGCTGTACCAGTTTGCATCCCCACCATCATAATGTGAGGTCCCTGATTTCCCCCCACCATCGACACACAAGATTGTCACTCTTTTTGTTTTCAGCAAATCTAATGAGGACCGGAATGTCTTGCTGTTGTTTCAACTTGCATTTCCCTAATTACTGTCTAGTTAGTAATTATAGTCTATCTAGGTTGAACATCTGTAGGCTTATTGGCCATTCCTATTAATTATTCTTTGAAGTGTTAGTTATTTTTTGCCCATTTGGACTATCTTCTTAATGATTTATAGGAATTTTTATATATTCTGGATATTAATCTTTTGTTATGCCTACTATTACCATTTTCTTCCAATCCATCACTTGTCCTTTTTTGTTTATGGTATCAACTATTTTACACAGTATTAAGCTTCAATGTAACCAAATTTAGCAATCACTTCTTTTCTGACTTCTGGGGTTTGTCTTGCTTAGAAAGACCTTCCCACCCCAAAATTATAAACATAGTGGGTTCTAATACTTGTAGGGTTTGCTTGTTGTACAAGTATATAAACTACATAAAAATTATTTTTAATAAGTTTTGAGACTTTACTTTTTTATACTTTTTAAAATTTTTTTAAAGATTTTATTTATTTTTAAAGAGGGATGGGAGGGAGAAAGAGAGAGAGAGAGAAACATCAATGTGCAGTTGCTGGGGACCGTGGCCTGCAACCCAGGTGTGTGCCCTGACTGGGAATCGAACCTGCGATGCTTTGGTTCGCAGCCCAAGCCCAATCCACCGAGCTACGCCAGCCAGGGCTACATGAAATTTATTTTGATACATGGTACGAGGCAGGACTTTCTCTAATTATTATCACCAAAGGGATAAACTATTTTCCTAACACTGTATACTGAATAATCTATTCAGCCCCCTACTTTGAAATGTTTTTACCATATTTTAAATTATCACACAGAATTAAGACTGCTTCTGGACTTTATTTTTCTATTCCACAGATCCATCTGTCCCTTATACACCAATAGTACAAAGTTTTAATTACCAAGGCTCTATAGTATGTTTTGATACCTGGTAATTCAGGCCCCTCCCTGTTGTGTCTTAAAAAAAAAAAAAGTTTGGCTATTCTCATAAATTTTGTCTTCCAGAGGAATTTAAAAAATCAATTTACTAAATTCCATTTTTAAATTTTATGGAAACTTTTTTATTGGGATTGTCTCAGATTTGTGGATTAGAGATTTCTACTTTTTAAGAGCACTTGAATGTTTTCAAAATTAGTATGTATTTATCAAGTTCCTACGATGGGCTGAGTTCTGCGGGAAATTCAAAGGATTTTAAGACGGTCCTTGCCCCACAGAAACAGACAACCTAAATGGAGGAAACAATATAAATAACTACTGCATTAAATGACAAATGTCTATAGCACTAAACTTGTAGTTCAGCTACGGTCATTACCGTATGCGCTTCGAGGTTTGTTTTTGCCTCTGGTGCTACTCCTGCATTTTTGTTTCTTCTTTGGCCTTACTTTTTTTAAGCACCTGACAACGTGTTTACACACACGACCGATGTTTTTTACAGTCACCCTTGGTAAGTTCTATTACCATCCCCATGTCACAGATCAGAAAACTGAAGCTCAAAGAAGTGAAGTAACTACTTTCCCAAGAGCACAGAGCAAATTAACAACGGAGGATGCCTAGGGCTGGAAACCAGGTTTCCCTGACTGCAGCCACCGTAGTGCCCCCCCCCTTCCTCCCCCCTTTTAAATTCCTGCTCCTGTGTCAAACGCAGAAGCCGCATCTGAAGAACAGGGGATGATAAACGAGTAACATCCGGTTTTGTCTCCTGTCTCATCCTCTCCACACCCGCCCAGGGAAGAATAAAATAGCCCGTGGGAAATGAGGACACGTCCTCCCCCTGCCACTGTCCAAGTGGACCCATCGGAGTCCCTCCCCCCTCTTTCCCTTAAGCTAAGAACAAGATCTACCACATATCTTAGAGAGAGAGCCCTGTGCAAAACGAAATTGTGGGACCCCTGGTTCAAAATGCATTACCAGGTTCAAGAGGTGCGAGCAAACCATTAGACGATGCACAAACCTATCTAGGGGCGGGGGTGAGGGTTGGGGGTGTTCTCAGCTCCGTGGACTCTACATCCACGAAGCATCCTCGGAGAGGAGGTTTTCTTTTTCCTAACCCAATTTCTACCATTGCAGATTCACAGCCCTGCTCTGATGAAGAAGGCTGCTCGGAAGTCTTCCTGCCCACCGACAGTGACTATGACTCCAGTGACGCCCTGAGCCCCCGAGACCTGGACCTGGTCTACCTGTCCTCGCACGACATTGCCCAGCAGTCTCTAAGCGGCCTCAGCGGCAGTGCCCCCGACGTCCTGCAGGTGCACGACATGAAGTCTCCTTTGGGGCCCGGCCAGGACGCCCCAGGCCAGGTGCCCAGGCTGGAACCAGACCACTCCTGCGCTGACTTCCTCCACAGCCTCACCCTCACCCCGGGCTTCGAGCCCAAGAACCACGCCAAGATGGCGCCGGGCGCGCGCCCGCCGCTGGGCTTCCTGGGAAAGCGGAAGCCGGCCAAGCACCAGCACTACGGCGGCTTCAGCCGTCACCACCGCTGGCTGCGCATGTACAGCGAGACGCAGTCACTGTCGCTGTCCGAGGGCGTTTACACACAGCACCTGTCCAGGGCCTGTGACCTGGCCCGGCATCCCGGGGAAGTACAGCGGCTGGGATCTGCCGCCGATGGGCCCCGCAGCCTGGCTCTGACCCATGCCACGAGCCTCCCTGAGGGGCAGAAGAGCATCCTCCAGGACCCGAGGCCCTCCGTGCGCCGCATCTATGTGGAGCCTTACCCCGAGGCCCTGGTGGACACGAAGCCCTGGGCCAGCTTGAGCCCACCGCCTGGAGGTCACTCTGGCCTGCCCAGCCCCACCCGCCCGGAGATGAGCCCGGAGGCCCCCACCACGTCTCCGGTGTCAGAAATACTCAGCAGCATGCTTTAGGGAGCCACAGTTGGCTCTCTATCGTTCCACCGCGAGACCCTGCGTTTTCTGTTACCCAGCCTGCCCCCACCATGTCCCCATCCGTTTTCAAATAGTTTGAATGTTTAAAAAGTCCATAGATTCCAGGTTCAAGGCTCTCTTTTTTTTTTTAAGAGTAGAGTTGGGGTAGAGGCAAGAGTTGCCAGTGTCTTTCCTAGTTCAGCCTACAGAAGGCATAGAGGGGCATTTGTGTCAACATAGAGTCCTGGACATAACAGTTGGAACATGTCTCCCTGTTGGTGGCACCTGTGACCGATGTAGGGCAGCCCAAAGAGCCACCCTCAGTTCTGCAGCTGACTTTGTACACTGACCCCTGGATTTAGGGTTCTTTTATGAGCTTTTGGATTGATAGGAGACATTCTATAGTGGAAATGTGATTAGCATTGTTTTTCTCTACGTTCTAAACTTTCAGAAGAGTTTGGGGAAAAGAAGCCCAGGTTGTAGTTCTAGGGCACAAGGTGAAGTTGGACTTGTCCCAGATTCCCTGTCAGCAAAATCAAGTCATTCCAAAGTGCAGGGTTCTCAGCGGCTCACCAAATCCAATTTTCCATCAGCACTGATCTGATTAAGGAGGCCATGGACAGGTCTTTTCTTCACTTAATGACAAAACCACCAGGAACAAAAATAGAGGATGCTTCTCTTCTAGCTCTCACTTGCAAAGATAGAATAGGGCAGAAAGCAGTCTTTCCTGCATACTCAACTCCCATTGATGCATGAAAAAGGGCCATATATTATACGGCCAGGGTGCAAGAAGAGGGTTGCATTCTGCGAAAGCCTGGATTACAGATAAGGCAAGGGGAGGGAGACAGACTTGAACAGAATGTGTTTACTTTACAGTCCTAAAATAAGTCCATGGGGGCTGTGTCTCAAAAATAATAATGGATCTGCTCCAGATTTCTTAGGTGACAGAATTGTCATTGAACGAAAATGTGCCCTCTAGACATGGCAGTGGTGAAGTCCTTACAGTCACACCGGACACATCTACTCACCCCCACATCACATCACAGGTCACAGGACAGATTGTCCAGAGCATGGGCTGCTGTGTTCTCCTTTTTCATCCACCCCTTCCACAGGCAGTGGATTTTACCCCAAAATCAGCTGGCCCATTAACCTCAAATAAAATCTTTCCTTAGAAGGCCCTGCCAGTGGTCCCAAGGTTGTGCTCCAAGACACCTGCAAATCCTGCTTTGGTCTCATTGCCTCCCACCTGCCTTTCTCACAAAGGAGAAACCCAAGTCAAAGAGAAATCACAGTGCATATTCAAAAAGGCAGGAGCCTTCCTTCATGTACTGGAGCCAAAGCCCATTCAGTTCACTGATATTCTAAATGGTCCTTTTCTGCTTCATAGGCGTTTTGGTTAAATATTGCTCTTTATGGTTCTACTCCTATCCTCACAGTTCTACCCTTCGTCCTCATGGGAGTTCACACAAAGTCCCCTGTTCACAATGTTATTCCGATCCCTTCCATTTTCAAAACATTTGATTTAAACATAAATAATTACCCTGGTGAAAAGGTACAGATTTGGCTCGTGGCCTATGGTCATTAGAAAACTAAAGTCCAGAGCTCTGTCTTTATTTTTTTAAGAGATTTTATACTCAATGAACCTCCCAAAGAATCTGATCAGAATCACTGCAGCTCCTTTTCCATGCCTGGGAGGATTTTAAAAGGCAGTTTTCTTCTTTCTGAGTGAATTCTATGTGTATGGAGTGTTAGAGCTAGTAGGGACCATAAAAGTAGTCTAAGTCCTTGTGTTTACAGATGATGCAGTTAAGGCCCAGAGTGGCTAAGTGACATGCTCATGGTCAAAGAGCTAGTTTAGTCTCAGAGTTAGAGTCCGAACCCAGAACCATTGTTTTTATAGCAGGCTCTCCGGTTGGGAATTGACAGATATCTAGTCAACTCTTGTCTACAGGTTACTTATCTAGTTTTCAGATTGTCTATCTACTTCTAATTCCAAATTCAACTCTTTTTCTTAACATTTACCTAACAGATTCCCAATATCACAGTGCTCTTTGTTGCCAGGAAATTCAAATTTCATATAATAGACATCTAAGCTCATCAATTCAAAAGCAAAGTTGGGGAAATGTCCTTTAAAAGTACATACCGTATGACTCTTCTTTAATAACAAAAATGACAGTCATCTGAGGTCAGTGCCTGCTTATTCTTAATTATAAAACAGATTATATATGTTGAATAAACATGAGATGAGATGCTGGAATTGTCAAGACATAAGAAACCAAATGATTCTCTGATCATGACCTTTCTGGTGGCATGGAAAGTAGTTTGTGACTGTGAATTAGATGGAAAGCATTTGACAGGCCCCAGAAGCAGAGACTGACCCACCCTTGGGCCCCTCATTTGGTCAGCAAGCTCTGGCACACTGGACCAAATAATGACTCATGAAGTAAAACTACATTAAAACCAAACCCACTAATTTATAGTGAGGACACAGGGTTATTTCTTCACCTTCTGTGAGGAAAGGAACTGCATGCCCCTGAAATGAATAATGCACATTAGGTTTCAATGGGCATATGTAATCAACTTGAAAATGCATTTTCCTAGCACTATTCCTATGTAAAAGTGGATGTCGTATCTGCGGTAATTAACTGTTTGTTCAGGTAGGTCCCCTACATCCATACCTCCACTTTGCAACATTTTTTGAACCTAGTTTACATTAAATCATTCTTGTGAGCAAAAATTGTGTTCTCTAATTCACAGCCCTTTATTCATTTGGCCAGTCTTCTCATTATGGAAACTTTTCAATGTATGAGGACCTTTGTGTTTGTTTGTTTGTTTGTTTGTTTGTTTGTTTGTTTGTTTTGTCTTATTGGGTTGATTTGTGAAATGATGGACATTTGTCTTTCATTCTTTTTAAGTTGAACCTGAGAGTCACTGAAGCTTTTCTCTGCCATGGTTTTTCTAAAATGCTTAGTCCTCATCTTTATTAGCCAGCTCTTATCATTTGTGAAAAACCTCAAAAATCATTGACTGAGGCCCTAGCGTATGTCTGCCTCTAACCTAAGTCCCACGGAGGACAAAAGAATCAAGTACAAAACATGTTGCCAGGCCACCAGGAGCTCACAATCCAAGATGAGTGTAGCCATCATCATTATACATCTTCTCACCGATGTCTCAGAAGAGGCGGGGAGCCTGTCTCCTCAGCCAGGCCAGTGTAGTATATGTTGGGCCAGACAGCTTTAATTTCACTCTTGCTGTCTATTCATAAGGAGGGCAGCCTGGAAAATGCAAGTCTTCAATGGATGTGCTTGCAACCATTTAAAAGGCTGTCACATCCTCTTAATTGGTGAGGCTATCTGGGAGACAGTAATTAGACATGTTCACTCTAGGGAATGAGTATTTTTAAAAGTGGGCACTTAAAGATGAGACTCCTTTCGTTTTAAGAACATTCACTGATGCTCAAAGCAATAATTACACTGGAGAAAATGGTTCCATTTGGTTTGAAAGTTGAAGCCAATTAGTAATAATATTCCTCCAGCCCCCATTCCTAAAGGATCCCAAAGCACTTTATGAAAAGCAATGACTGAAGCCTTGTTGTACTCCCCTAAAAAGACCTTGTCCGGGAGCCACCTGGCACACACCTACCCCATGCTTGCCAGGAGATCGTGCCAGACAAGTGGAAAAGAAGACTGGCCTCTCATTCATTGTTATCCTGCCACACGAACGTGTGCCCCGGTGAGCGTGGAGCTCTACACTCGAAGACAATTTTAGACAAGGAGGCATACCGGAAAATCCAAATTCCTTGGCCTCCTCTTGTTCTTCATACTCCACCCAAGATATACTCACTTTCTTTTGGAGAACTGTCAACTCACGATCTGAAGGGGTCTGCAGTGCATTTAATGTCGCTAGTTGTGTCAACAGCATACTGAATTCACTGGCTCTTCACATTGATACTTGTTAGAAAGATGACGCTATTCTTCTACAGCTTTCTCAACTTTGCGTGCAGCAGAGCTACAGCAGGGAGTACGCATCCCTTGGTATAGTTGTTTATTGGACTGTAGCATACCCATTAGAGAGGGTAGTTATAGGTTAACAAGAGAACATTCTCAGAGAATTGAAAGTGCTACATTTTCACTTTATAAAGTCTAAATATTTTTTCAGATGATTCAATAAAGCAAACCCGAACTTTTTTCCTGGTCATACCTTTAAGGAAAATTTTAAAGGAGCTATTTGGAAAGCAATGATACCTCTTCACAGGTAGCAAGGTGAACAAGGAAAAAACTTGTTTCTTTGCGGGTCACCTCTCATAAGATGTTCAAACACGTGGCTCATGACTGTTAAGCTAAACTTCAATGCAGCCTTACAAACAACAAGGGTAGTGTATTTGAAACTATGTTGTACAGTTTGGAAACTTATTCCAAGATCTTAATTCAGAGTTTTTCTGAGGTGTTGAACTTTGCCATTAGCAAAAAGTATTTTTAGAAAAATCCATTGACTGTTTATGAAGCACTGATTTTGCCATATTTCGGGTCTCTGGTTTTTCCACTACATCTGCACACAGTAGTTACATTTGAGAGTTTTTTTCAATGATTTCTTTTATTCCCATTAATAATGAACTTATAAAATGGTCATTCAAAAGGATAGTTGGTTTTATTTGGTTGGTCAGGTAGACTGTGAAAATACGCTATTTTGATAAAGGAAGTAGGAAGTTTGTTGTTTTAAATATTATCTTAGGGTCTTTCCCCTCCAGATACATAGTTTTCATTTTAACAAAAGCCAATATGTAACTCAGTGGCAAATGTTAATGCTTTCTGCTCCTCTTCCTTCAGCACATGACATGAAAGTCTGACCGTGCTTTCACAGCAACCACCATCCAGTAGCTGATTTAGAAAAACCAACTCTGGCAAAGTATTGTGTTAAGTCACTCTGAGTTGCTGTGTTACTTCTTGCCCTGTAGCAAACCAGATGTTTGAGGATTTCCCACGTATGTGGTCACAAGCATC